CTCCGACGACCAGGCACATGGGCATGCGCACATCTGGAATGGAATAGACATGAGCAAGCGAACGAAGAATGTCATTTTAATCGATAGCTGACGGAGGAAGCTAAAGAGGGGGTCCTCATAAAACGTTCAAATCCCAAATAGGGATAGGTCCCCTAATCTGCAGGAAAAACTCTTTCCATCTCTTAAGGAACTTCTTCATTGTGGGATGAGCAAATTTTTAAAGTTCTCCCAATGAGGAATGGAAAGCCATTATAGCAGCCAAGTGTACACTGATAAAACTCATAGATAACTATTGAGTTTTAAAAGATCAGGGTTAAGGACAGCAGGGAGAGACGAGTCACAAAAACATGGTTACATACACCAATGGTGGAATCTCTACCATTTCTGGAGGTAAGTAACTCATGTAGATATTTTTCTGTTGTTTAGTAACGCCTGTTACACTTGTGTAGTACAAGTAGTTTCCATTCCTGCGAGCCTCGGAGTAACCAAGCCTTAAGGCAAAGAATTCTCAGGTTGAGATGGAGAATTTGACCAGCATGTTAAGCAAGAAGGTGGGGAATGGCCAGAAGATTGATTGATGGACAACCCACAAGGTGAATCAGGCAAGCGTATCAAGCCTGCTGGGCCACATTGGAGATATTAGTATAACCTTCACTTTATCTTATCTTGTTTACCACTTTCAATAACAATAATGTTGGAGGAAACACATAAAGGAGGCCCCTTGTCCATGCAACAAAGACAGCATCTCCCAGAAACGGAAGGCCCAACACTCCCCTTGAATGATAACGTCAGCACTTCCTGCTGGCGACAGTGGTAAAAAAGTCCACCTCCAGAAACCACTGAGTTTGAAAAAATATGATCGAGAGTCCACAAAAGTCCAACTCCCATTCATATTCTGGAGAGAAATGCGGGCTGAGGTCATCAGCCATGGTGATTTGTATGCCTGGGAGGTAAGATGGGGAAATTAGAACGTGACTGGTAATTCACCAGTTCCATAGCCTCACTGCTCCAGCACAAACAGAAGGGAATCTCTGCCCTGCCACCCCACTCCCTTTGCCGGTTGATATACAACATGTAGGCTACAATGCCTGTTATGATTTTGATGGATGTGCTCTTGATTAATGGCAGAAAGTATAAGCAGCCATTCCTGACCGCCTTCAGCTCCAGGAGGCTGATGTGCAAATGAGCTTCTTGTGTAGACAACCTGCTCTGAATGCTGTGCATCCCTAAATAGCTTCCCATCCTAGAAGACTCATCTGTTATGGTAATGATTGGAGGATGCTGAATGAACGGAACACCTACACAGATGTTGTGAGGATCCTTCCATCAACTGAGGGCATCCCACCTTTTTGAGGGACCAACACCAGTCTGTCTAGACTGGTCTGTTTGGACTATAAATTGTTCTGACTCACCCCTGGAAGCAGTGGAGATATAATCTGGCAGGCTGTGTCACAAGGCACAAGCTGCCATGTCTCCCAGTAACTGGATACAATTGCTTGTGGATGTCTTGGGCTTATTTGAATCTCTGCCACTAGATTTGCTAGAGTCATGAACCTGTTCCTGTCTAATTGTTACAGCATTTAAGGAAGCTCTGGTAAGGAAGGGGATGGTACCAGAGAAAGTTGTAATTCTCATGACTATGACAATCTTGGTACCAACAGGCACACACAACCCATTAAGAAGGGAGACGCTGGCTCATTGGAGACATGCAGATCCCTGGAGTACCTAAGCTCTTGCAATACTTGAGTTGTCGGAACCAAAAGTGGGGCCTGCGTCAATGAGTCCTTTGTAATAGAAATCATCGGTACTGATGATGTTGACAGTCTCGAACACTGAGTAGTATGAGGCCACTTAGACTTCTGCAGTACTAAGGGAGTCACGTGGCTAGGCACCAGAGATTGAAAAGTAAGATCAGATGGTACAGTCTTCTCAGAAGCCAGGGGTTTCCCTGCTACTCTGGTTGAGCTTAGACTGTAGTGAAGATGGTTTAGGTACCAAAACCAGCTTGGAACAGTGGCTCCTCAATGAGATCAGGTTTTGGGAGCACTACTGGTATTGGAGGAGCCTGGAGCCTCAACAGTACCCAGACCATCACCTGTGGGCTCCAAAATGGTCAACTTTTGCAGAGACTGAGATCTCCTGGGAAAGCTACTGCCTCAAAGAGAAGAAGAACTCTTCTTAGAGGCTTTCCCAGTCCCTTTGGATGATTTGTCTTTCAAAGCCATGGGTTAGGACGGTGCTGAAGTAGACGGGGCATGATGCTCACTGGGAAGCTGATGTACGGGGCAGGAGGGTCCCCAGATCCAGATCTGAGGCAGGGTGAAGAGAGAGCACCATCATGAGCAGTTTAAGCCTGATCTCCTGATTCTTCAGAATCTTGCTCTTAAGGGCTGCAGAAAGATTACATTTCTGGGGGAATGCGTTGCCCACACTCCCCAGGCAGCAAATGCACTGGGAATGTCTGTCGCTGACTCGGATAGCTTCCTGGCATGAGAGGCAATGTTTAAATCCTGATGACTTTGGCATAATTCCACAATGGAGGAAAAGGAGGATTCCCTCAAGAGGGGTGGAAGGAATAAACTAAAATCCTCAAAATAACAGAATAAAATAAAAATGAAGTAAAAATGACAACTACACTAATGAAACACTAAAAAAGACTAACTAAATTAGAAGAAAAAGCAATAAGCTTATTAATAGTGAAGCAGGCATGCTGACACTCCGTCTCAAGCAGAGGTGGTTAAGAAGGAACTGAGGGTAGTTTGCCTGTACAGCCCTACCCTTGGTGCAGGGCACAATAACATGTAGGTGCATGTGCAGTCTGAATGAGTACTGCTACCAGAAATCTCTGATCAAGGCCAGGTGGGATTCACCTGCACCTGAAGTGGAGCACCCATATGGACAGTATTCAAAAGAAATAACCTGAAATATGAGGAAATGAAGACAAGTTGTATTCACATTGATTTTCTTGCTGCGAGAGCTTTAGGTCTCCTATGCTTAAATGCAATTACTAAAAAAAAAAAAAAAAAATATCAACATTACCCTTTAAGAGCAAAGTATGTGGGCAACTGAAAAGAGACCAAACATCTGCTCTCAGTTCAGATTTTATTATAGCTATTTAAGAAAGTTAGTGAAAGCATCCAATCAGTTTTAAATATAAACTAAAACTATATACAATTGTTTCTTCTGCTTAAGGTATTTCAAGTAAATACAGTGCTATTTTACAAAAACATTGTGTAATAATCTTACTTATTCAAGGACATATCTAAGCCCATTTACAAAATGCAAACACTAGCTCTGTATGCTATTAGCTCTATACTGACTTGCAGTGAAATTATGGCAAATATTCAATGCCTGCTTCGCCAGACATATCAAGTATTTTGTGAGTGGCTGCCTTTCCTAATTAATCTTACAAACGCAGAACGTGTAGGCCAAGTTCAGCATCTTTCTGAGATTTGGCTTGATTAACAGATCATTTAGGTTACAACGATCACTTCAAAACTTCTTTTCAGGTTTGGCTGCTACTAGTGTTCCTTCCTCAAACATTTCAAAGTCCACACTCTGGATCCTCTCCTATCTCCCTTATATTTAATTGGGAAACAGGTCACCTGCCTAAGGTCAACCTGCTAAAAAGGTGGGGATATTTCAGGCAAACACTGCCTGCTTGTTGCAAATTATTCTAAGATATGGTTTAATTTAAAAATTTATATGAACATTAAAGTTACAATGGCCTTTTCCTTTTAGTCAATCTTTTTCAAGATATGGCAAGTGAAACTGAAAAATATCTATTACTTTTACAATTTGAAGTCAGAACTGAAGGGAAAGGGAAAGGAACAAGACTATCACCCTACACAGTTTTTTCCAAGTTGACAAGAGTAGAATGTTTATTTGTCCTGGGAAGGGAGCAGAGCCATGCACTGATCTAATAGTTGCCTCCTACATCAGTACTTCCCAATCTGGGGCCATCAGATTACTACAGTAGATTCACAGGAAACAAACACTGACTTGTCACTGCAAACTTACTACTGTGGAAAAGAAGCTGCTCACTGCTTTGAGACCCACCTTACCTCTCTCGCTCCTCCAATAGTCTTAAATACTGCTTACTACAAGGGAAGCTCATATTTATGACACAGAAAACTCAGGAAGCATCTCTCCAGCCCAAGCTAAGTGTCGGCTCTCACACCACAAAGCTCAACTAACAGTATATGTCCAAGCTATGTGCTACTCAAGGTTGGGATGTCAGTTGACACAGTGGAGCTTGGACATGTGCTGTTAGCTGAGCTTTGTGGTGTGACAGCAGACACCTAGGGGAAAAAAAACTAGTTACAGTAAGGAGTATCACAATTTACGAATTATTCAATACAAAAATTCTCAGCAACTTCATTACACAGACTGTGAATCACTGGTTTGGGAAATAACTAACTATATGGGAATACATATGTCCTTGTCTCTGGAGTCACGGGACCAAAAAAAAAAAAAAAAATAAAAAAACAATTTTAAATTTTTTAAAAAAAAAAAAAAAAAAAAAAAAAAGTCACTCTGTAGTTTGATTTTTTTAAATCGTTTAAATAAACATGCTTCTTCAAGGAAGCCTATAAACAGTTTCTACTCCTCCCAAAGAAACGTTAAAATAGATTACAGAAAATATGGATTACAAATCCGAACAAAAATTATAGTACTAACAAGGCTTATGCTAAATACCACCACTTTCGGTTTTTGTGCTACCCAGCTATATAGTGTCTATTTAGACTAACTTTAAAGACAATATACCCTGTTTTGATCTATATGACGCCTACTATTTTATTTTATAAAACATCAGTATAGCAACATTAAATTACTGTAGGAAAGTGCTGTATGCGAACAAAACTTTCAGCGTTGAGTGCCTAACATTAGGCAGCTAAAACCACACTTATTCCATATTTGACCAAGCTGTCTGACCCAAAAAACCCAAAACCTAATTTGAGGGATGAGTCTGACTTTGTTAAGGAATTTTCTATACATACCAGTTTTTCGATTTCAGATTCAAGATTCTGTATGCAGTCAAGTTTTCTCTTACGACAGCGCTGTGCGGCAATTCTATTTTTACTTCGCCTTCGGATATCATGGATACAATCCAGCTGTTCAGGAGTCAATTTGTGCATTTTCAGAAATGACTGAAAGTCATTTCTAGAAAGTGAAGTGATCCTTTGTGAATTAAATGGCAGTTTTACCTAAAATATAAAATATAGTTTTGAACCAAGGAGTAAACTGATACAAGCAAAATTAAAAATCAGCTAAACTGGAGGGGTTTCTTGAAATTAATTTACAAAAAACAACTTAATTGAAAGAACATGAGCAGAACTAGAACACCAATATTAACCAGAGATGCAAAAGCAATCTGTCATCACATTTGCACAGTCACATAGATAAAATCCCAGGATTTCAGGCAGATATCTTGATAGAATCCAGTAGATGTAATCCAAGGACTTTGCACATTTAATTTCAGGTTTTCCAAAAAAGAATATTCCTTAAGAGTAAAATCTACTTCTGTGCAGTGGATTACAACACGCCAGGTATTAGTTAGTGCAATGGTTCTCAGCCTTTTTGGGCTCAGTACCCTTTTGTAAATGTTTATGGCATGTCACAAACCAGTAAATAGTCTGGGGATGAAGGCCCTGGGGTGATTTCCAGTCGAGTGCTGCCCCCCAATGGAGTTGGGTCCTGCCCAGCACTGATTCCACAGTGGCAGCTCCTATGCTGTGGGGCTAGCTGGGCTTGGCTCTCGGTGTTGCAAACCTTCAGGGTTGCAGCACCACTCAGGTTTGGCCACACCCACCTGACTGCACCAAACTGGAGTTGTGGAGTTGCGACCTGGCTCATAGGGTCGCAGTGCCACTCACTCAAATTTGGCCTACTCAGACTCCGTCATCGTGGCTAGGTCAAATCTGAGTGCCCAGCCAGCCCTGGGGGACAAGAGCGATAGGAGCTACCAAGCAACCCTTTGAAACATTTTGGCAACCCAGTTTTGGGTCCCAAACCGCAGGTTGAGAAATCCTGAGTTAGTGTATAAGACCTTCTAGAGGCATCCCCCAGCACAGTCTGAATTTCACCCTAAACCGTTAACAATATATAATATTGCATATATATGTTACACAAATACACATCTATAAATGTGTATTAAATTGTTTCTATTGTACGGGTAACTGGTTGCAACTCCTGTATTTAGGTTGCTTAACACTTTCCATTATTATATATAGAATTGAGCCTCCTCCCCCACTATGCATGCTTGAGCTTTGGGGACAGCAGCTGCCACAAATATGCACACATACCAACATTATAAGGCCTGTCACCAATGCTTGGTTCATGTTGAACGCCATCTTTGTTTTTCAAATGCAATATTTATATTTTAAAGTAAGCTATTAAGAGAATATATGCAGACTTAATAAAAAATAAAAACGTCAAAAATAATATCAGCTTACTTGTACCTAAAGAACTGAATGCAGGAAGGGAGTCTTTCAACGGGTTTCTACTGCTACCACCAGAGACATCACTAACACTAAAGAAGTGGATGGAATGCTGCTCCAGACAATAATGCCATTTACCATTCCATGAAATTAAGGAATGGGCCAAATTCAGCACTGGAGTTAGCTAGCGGTTTTCCACTTACTTTCAGTGCAAATTATGCACTGCTTATTTTGGGGGCTGAATCTGTTCTTAAAGCCTGAAAGGTAAAACACTTCTTTAGAGTAATGAAGAGTTCTACATATCAGCACCATATTGTAACTTTAGAATTTCCATTTTTCTACATAGTCTGTGGAAATTGATTATTTACGACATTCAGCTGAAGGTAAAAGTTCTACCATATGAACAAAAAAACAATGCATTGAGAGGGATGGGGAAAAAAAGAAAAGAAAACAGGAAAAACAGGAGTGCTTCACTTCATCACATAAACAAGCACTAAGCAATTTCTGCAGTTGAAGAAACAGACAATATATAACCAAAGCAGCAGAAACAAGTGCAGTATAAAAGTAGTCTGGAATTATACAGTGTACAGCTTGTCAAAAACCACAATTTCCCTCTCCCCCCCCCCTTCCAAAATAATATTTGCCACCAGATTGCAACAAAAATCCAAGATTTCAAAGTTTCCAGTGGAATGAAAATTCCAAAAAAAATTTAATATCAAACATTTTGTTTTCGCAATACTTAATCATTTTGACATTTATAGTATATTTTAAAATGTATTTAATTTAAGTCAAAACAATTCAATATCAAACAGCTGGAAAAGTCATTTCAATTTTTTCCCCATTGAAAATTTTGTCAAAACAAAACACATTCACGCAAAATATTCAATTTTAACTAAACTGCATATTTGATAGAAACATTTTCCTTAGAAAATTATGCAATTAGCTTTAATAGCGACATGTCTCCTCTCAACTTGCACATTTCCACACACTTCATAGACATTATGAATTTCAATAAACCTCCTTTAACAACCTAATTATTTTAAAATTACTAACTGTATTCCAACAGATCTTTCGACCATTTTGGATGGAGAAATAAAATGCTACTTTCCCCCTAGAGTTTTGAAACCAAGCAAGAAAACTGTCTGGAACTAATTGGGCCTAGAATTAGATTTCAGAAAGGAGCATACAGATGTATGGAAACAAAAATATAGCCAGAATGTCCTCACCTCACATTCCTGTTCTCTTGCTGAACAGGACTCACTGTCTCCCTCAGTGTCAGTTTCAGAGTCTTCTCCCAAACTTATCACACAAGTATATGGACATTGTTCTTGTTGTGGTTCCTGGATATAATCTCCACTATTTATCTCTGGGCTGTTTGAGCATACTTCAGTACCAAGGTTACTTATAAATGGGCAGTTGACAGAGTTCAGAGTTGTAAAAGTTCTTTGAGAACAAGGTTCAGGGCTCTCATTGAGACTGATACCTAACCATGGGCACTCTGATTTTTTTCCTGAATATATTGGTTCTGAGCATTCTTTTGCTGTTGCAGGTGACAAACGCATTTGACAAGCAGTCTCTGTATTGTAAATGTCACTCCAGAAACCTTTTGCTAGGTGTTCAGCTACCTCTCTCTCCACACTGCTTCGGTCACTAGTTGATGTAATGCTTATGTCTTCTCTAGCACACAAATCAGACTTCAAAAGCGAATCATCTTGATTTTCACTGATTGGTTTATCATTCCTAACGACAGTACTTGTCACAGTTTTTTCAGCTACAACCGTGTTTTGCATACTAATTAAATTCAAGTTGCTGTATTGCTCATATGGGCCTAGAAAAGGCGCAGAATAAAGTTCATGAGGTGCAACAGAAGAGTTTTGGGGAAGAGAAGCGGCATCTGTTTTCTCCATAGGACATGAGATACTCTGAGACACAGACTCTCTCTTCAATTCCTCTTCTTTCTCCACCTCTTTCTCCCCCTCTTCCATTTCTACCTGAGTCTCTTCACATTGTGAGACCAGCTGCACAGCTGTGCACTCCTGAGCTTTTTGTATGGCATCATTAAGTGATTCACTCTGATGAATGGATGTAGCTGATGTTACCTGATCATCTTTAATACTGCAGAGATTGGTTCCAGTATGAACTTTGTCACTCCCAAAAGCTTTCTGGAACTTCCTATATTTTGGGCATAGGGCAAACAAGCCAGAAACATTATCTTTTTCTAAACATGCAGGATTGCATGTTTGATTGGTATTATCTTGGAGATGAGGAGATACTTTTGCATTTTCTTCACCTTTGCTGAGCTTTGAATTAGGAGTTGCAGTGTATTCCGTTTCCAACAATTCCGCCACTTCGTCATCTATTTCTAGGTCCCCATCATCCACAAGGGCAATGTTAACGTTTGCTTTCTCACAACGTGAGGTACAACATTTCTTTCTAGGGCATTCCTGCTGGTCTGCTTTACAGTCCAAAAACTTGAATTTGAGAAACTGAAAGCAAGATTCCTCAATATCATGTACTCCCAAAAACTTTGCACACTTGCAAACTTCGGACACATTGTCTTTATTTAAAATAAGTTTGGCAGTATATGCAAACTGAAGCAAAGGAGCAAATCCTTTAAGTGTCACCTGTTTGGGTTTAAAAAAAGAAAGAACAAACATGTTAGTATGGCTCATTTCTTGTTAGGCTGAGACTTGACACAAACCACAGTCCTGTCACTCTTACATGAGAAGTCAGTATGAAACGGACTCAAATCTTCCCTGCCCACTGAGATGAGAGCGACTTATCCTGGTCCTACAACTGTTTACTGACAAAGTTTTGGTGTCTGGTCTGCCTGGGCTTAAGATAGCAAATGGGGCCCCCTATCACAGGAACCTGCTTGGTCAGGTCAAACAGGAATCAATGAACAAACAGATCCAGTCCTGTGGGGAAATGGCAAGCAGAAATGAGGAGAGGAGAGAAGGTAGTTTTCCTTAAAAAGAAATTAACCAAGAGTTATATCTAGCCAAGCTCCATCAAAAATCCATCTTTTGATATGACAGAATTTTATTGTGACCCTTTTATAGCAGCGTTCCACTTCAGTGTTAAATAAATTGATAACATTCCAATATATTACTATTCCTCAAAGATTAAAAGTATCACTGTTCACTGAAGAGCAGTAAACAGATGCAAAAGCAGGATTGGATTTTCAGGTTTCCTTTCAAAACGCAAGGTACTCTAGGATAATTTACCGGCAAAGTCACTATACTCCTGGCATCTAGCACACTCCTTTTAAAATGCAGCCACCATTATTCATTCACAGTCTAATGTGTTACCAATTCTGATATCAGTAAGAATATGAATTTGGTCGTGACTGGTTATTTAACTTCTTTGGTACATGGTATACCCTCCATCCCCTGTTCCTCCCATTAAAAGGAAATTTGTTTCTGTTTGAACAGATACCAAACTGACAAATTACTCTCAGTTTAATGACTCACTGGAATCAGGTCCATTTCTGAAAGCTCCACACCCTATTACTACATACCCTATTTCTGCTAGGGATCTGAATCCTCTCACAGAGCAATATAATACCCACTGAATACCACCCAAAAGAGTCCAATAAATTTTTTCTCTTCAATTTTAACGCCAATCTCATACTCTTACTTCCCTAAAGGTTTAGGGACAGATTCTGCCTCCTTCTACCAACCCTTCACGTTTAGTTACTAATTTATGCCATGAAGGGATTCTCTGAAATCAAAAGGGACTACTTGCAGAGTAAAGTACTACTCAACTTAAAGGTGACGGACCCTGACAGCGAATAAAATCAGGTTCTATTATACTCAACAATGTGATTGGGATCACTATTTTAAAACAATCATAATGGTATGCTGCAGAGTGTTCCAAACACATGGTGATATAGATTTTAGAGGAATCCTGAAACATCTTGTGAAGTTTTGAACTATTTTGGAGCATGCTCTGAAAACAGCAGTGTACACGACAGTTTGCATTTGTGAAAAGTTTGCATTTGTTTTCACCTACTCATGTGGCATTGTTTATAAATCAGCACACTAACTTAGCTTCAAACACTTGTAAAACCACTAGGGGAAAGAGGATGTCAACCTTCCCATCTTCAAATCCCAAACATATATGCAGTAGTGGCAAGTAATTAAGTCTAACTAGTGACCTGATTTGTTGAGTGTTAAGGCACACTGCGTATACAAACTGAAATGGTGAATAATACAATGTATTCCAATAATACAATAATCCAAAGTATTCCCTTCTCACACACGAAGCACAGAGATCTACAATAGCTTCAGCAGCATTTGAAGCCCACACCAGCTTGGGGAACATGAGAATTTAACATGTGTGCTGCACAAAATATTTTTCAAACAGAAGCTACAATCCTGCAAGCAAACAATATTAATTTCATTTACACCTTTTTAAAGAGATAATTTGATGTTAAATAGCTCATGTACATTCTCATTTGAGTGTCCCCCCACATCCTTACACTGAATGCTTGATAAATGACAATTCTGAAGCAGTGGTTTGTTCACCAGTTAGTTTCCCAGTTCCTAAACCACTTAATTTAAGATTAGTTACTTAAAGTTAACACCAGCCTATTGTATAGCATAATTTAATGTAATGGTGTAGAAACATAATTATGGTGATATGCAGAAGTATGCCAATTAGTGCCACTCACCTCTTCCGGTAAAGTGATGAGAAGATCAGCATTCAACTGTCCCACAATTCTTGAAAGAAAATAGCTGCTACAAGCTGCAAGCACAGACCGATGAGCCCGAAATCGTTGATCTTCCACTAGAATAGTAACATCACAAAGAAGATCTTGCTTTCTCTGATCATTGAGACTAAGTAGAACATTGGTACTGTGTACCGAAGACTCGTATGCAAAAACCACACTATTCTTCTCGCTTAAAGGCATTGTGTATCAGAAGTATTAGGGCTATTCTCAGTGGAAAGCATTCTTCTATTCTTCAAACCTGAAAAGAAACGTGAAAATTTACAGAGTACATAAGTATCTGATAGGAATTCAACAATAAGAATACTATGACTCATAAGAAAGGACAATTTACGTTATACATATTGCACCCTTAAAAAAAAAAAAAGATCACTGTTTAAGTATCTAGATTCTAAGCTAAATGAAATGCAAACAAAGAAGATAGTTTAGATACTCATTTTTAAGCAAGTTTCAAAATACATTCTTTAGTAAGCTCATCTTTAATTATATGATTTTGCTACAAATAAATCCTGCTCCTACTACACATGGAGGAAAAATACGTTTGAAAACAGCATTTGAAAAACTATCACACACTGGTTTTTGGAGATGCATGTTGATTAAAAGTGACAAATTTACCACAAAACTCTAGGACATGAAATAAGTATCTATATTTAAAGACCTTTTCCTGACTGCAGCACTTCAGAAATTGAAAGAGGAACAAACTATAGAGGCTCTAGATCAAAGTTCATCAAGATACTACATAAGCTGCTTTTGTTTGTTTAATGTGGTGTATACAAACAAATTCAAAGAAATCCTACAATATGCTACTTACATACAGCAATAATGACTCAATACCTCAAGTGATCCCACAATAAAAAAAATGGAAAGAAGATATGGAACATTTTGCAACTAGTTAGTTGGTTTGCATGGCTGCTTGGTGGCCTTATGTGGAACATGCTTGCATTTTCAGGGTGCAAGTGCCTGCATCATAAAGACAGTAGAAACAAGCATCTTCATTGGCAGTCTCAAAAGAGGCACCTGGAAAATGAGTTGAACAGCCATGGAAATGGAGCTACTATTTGATGCCCAGAGATGATCCCCTAGAAATCACAAAGCAGATTCGCTTAAAAAAATTTGTATACATACATTATGATTGCAGACATGATGTCACTTAACATGATTTTTTTCAACTTTTTTCCACATGGCCTTGGAAAGTAGCAACATTTTTATTAGGGCTGTCAAGCGATTAAAAAAATTAATCGTGATTAATCACACACTGTTAAACAATAATAGAATACCACTTATTTAAATATTCTTGGATGTTTTCTACATTTTCAAATATATTGATTTCAATAAGAACACAGACTACAAAGTGTACAGTACTCATTTATTTTGATTGCAAAATACTATAAGTACTGTAGTGCAATCTCTTTAAAATGAAAGTTGAACTTATAAATTATATACAAAAAATAACTGCATCCAAAAATAAAACAAACAATGAAAAACTTTGGAACCTACAAGTCCACTCAGTCCTACTTCAGCCAATTGCTCAGACAAACAAGTTTGGTTGCAATTTGCAGGAGATAATGCTTCCCACCTCTTGTTTACAATGTCGCCTGAAAGTGAGAACAGGCCAGCTACAACAGTGCCAGCGAAAGCATCGCAAGATATTTAACATGCCAGATGCACTAAATATTCATATGTCCTTTCATGCTTCAACCACCATTCCAGAAGACATGTCCATTCTGATGACACGATAATGCTCGATAATGATCCAAAGCAGAGCAGACCGATGCATATTCATTTTAATCATCTGAGTCAGATGCCACCTGCAGAAGGTTGATTTTTTTTTTTTGGTGGTTCGGGTTCTGTAGTTTCCGCATCGGAGTGTTGCTCTTTTAAGACATCTGAAAACATTCTCCACACCTCGTCCCCCTCCGATTTTGGAAGGCACTTCAGATTCTTAAACCTTGGGTCGAGTGCTGTATCAATCCTGAGAAATCTCACATTGGTACCTTCTTTGCATTTTGTCAAATCTGCGTGAAAGTGTTTATAAAATGAACATGCGCTGGGGTGATCATCCGAGACTGCTATAACATGAAATACATGGCGAAATGTGGGTAAAACAGAACAGGAGACATACAATTCTCCCCCAAGGAGTTCAGTCACAAATTTAATTAACGCTTTTTTTTTAAACAAGCATCATCAGCATGGCAGCATGTCCTCTGGAATGGTGGCCGAAGCATGAAGGGACATACGAATGTTTAGCATATCTGGCATATAAATACCTGCAACGCCAGCTACAAAAGTGACATGTGAACGCCTGTTCTCACTTTCAGGTGACATTGCTTGTTTTAGCAATTGGCTGAACAAGAAGTAGGACAGACTGGACTTGTAGGCGCTACAGTTTTACATTGTTTTGTTTTTGAGTGCAGTTATGTAACAAACAAACAAAATCTACATTTGTAAGTTACACTTTCACGATAAAGAGATTGCACTACAGTACTTGTACAAGGTGAATTGAAAAACAGTATTTCTTTTATCATTTTTACAGTGCAAATATTTGTAATAAAAAATAAAAATATAAAGTGAGCACTATACACTTTGTATTCTGTGATCAATATATTTGAAAATGTAGAAAAACTACCAATTTAAATGTATTAAATATTTTTGGATTTCTATTGTTTAACAGTGTGATTAATCGCAATTAATTTTTTAAATCGCAGTTAAAAAAAATTAAGAGTTAATCGCATGAGTTAACTGCAATTAATCGACAGCCCTAATTTTTATTCAATTGTTCAAAAATGCCCAACGTTAAAAGAGCATTCTTTTTAAGTCAACAGGAAAAATTCATCTTTAACTTCATATGCTGCTATGGAGTAATACCAGAAATACACATTGCTTAATATTTGATCTATATGGTGGTTTGAGGGATACCCAGCAATAGTAAGAGGTATTGTTTGTTTTTATATTCTTGGGGGTTGGTATACGGACAGTTCATTTACTTGTAATTTTGTCATTGCATTGGCAAAGTTTGTAAAATACCTAGAGATTGAGATAGGTGTTTCAAAATTGAAATGTCAAGAATGCACTGTAATGACTATTCCTCTGTCTAGAAAAGATGGACCCAATTCCCTCTACAACTAATCCATCTACCAAACCAATCAAGATAACTAACTTTCCTTTCCGCTCCCCAGTTGCTCTCTCTCCTTCTGTCCTTTCCTTCCCACTTTATTTATTTTCCCCCTCCTCTTACCACCTCACTTTGTTTGCATGTGTTCTTTTCTTCCACACCCATTTATCGCTGCTGTCTCATTTCCCCACACTGCGTGATCATTCTCTCTTCCGCTAATTTGCCTGTCTCCGTGTTGGATGAGCAAAGGCTCTGTACAATAAAAATAGCACACGTCTCCCAATATGCACAAGTTCATATGTTTGAACATGCAGTTTCATCAAACCCCAAAAACACCAAGCCTTTTCAAGTTTATCTATAACATTCTTCCATTACCCATTGTTATATTGATGTCACCTGACACTATTTAGTAGAAGTGTCACCCCTCGACCCCTGATGGAAAGAAAGAGGAGGGAACTATAAGAGTAAGAACGATAGTTTCCAAAATATGGGCTTGATGCCAAAATTTGTTTAGACTGATATGACTGATAATATTAGTATCCCCACTGGGCTGTGAGAGAGATTCTGGGTTGGTGGGAAAGCTTCAGATTATCAGTAAATCAAAGGAGTGCATGAATACAAGATTTAAAACACAACTTTAAGACTCACAGAAGAGCTGATACATTCCATTTTCCTACAGAAATTCCTAAACTCTCAGGAAAGAATGTGTGTGGAGAAGAGGAGAGTACCCAAGGAAAACAAAGACAGCAGACATCCTAGCCTCTCTGCCCCTTGTTATCTGCTCTCTTCCAGCATCTGGCACAGACCAAGTTCACTCACATTCTCCAGTCCTATCTCTATGCTATATTTGTACACCCCCACCTTCTTCAGAGACAGACTCCTGATGGAACACAGATGGTTATGGTTGAACAAAGTTGTGAAGACAAGTTGGTTGATACCAGGCTGCCCAATTTTTTGTAGACCATGACAATCTGTATTCAGCAAGTGTCAGCTAACTGCAATTAAAAGATGTTGGGACCAGAGTATGTCACATTTAGCTGACAAGGCTGAACACAATTTGTCCAGACAGCTGCATTATGGCCAAGAGTGTCAGTTAAAGCTAATCTTGAACTATGTTCAAACACATCTGAGTATTATAATGTACACAAGGTCACTGTCATTTAACTGTGGTAGAAATCTCTGCATTCAGTCTACCCTGCAGCAGTGTTGGTTGCACTGCTGCTAGAGAATTTTCTTAGTGCAGATACACCCTTAAAGTTAAGATACTTTAATCTACCTTCATAGCCTAATGTCAGCCAGACTTATATTTTTCCACTGGGGGATGCTATAAGAAGTCTGTATGGTTTTGTCAACACTAGGGTTGTTTGTTTTTTTGGGGGGGAGGGGGGAGATGAGTTAGGCAGGGGTAATAGTACTAATACTGGTAAAAACACTACAACCTAGTCTGTTAGCACTCAGTACAATGTTAGTGTTATAGTAATCCAGACAACCTATTAATGAAAAAAAAAATTACAGAAATTATGCTCGCTATTTTTAAGCGGTCAGCAACAGCAGTGAGATATCAATGTCACCAATAACTAGAACCAGAAAGTTCCCTGCACTACACTTAACATTAAAGGGAAAGCCACAAGTCCTTTAAAACAAGCCCACATAAAATTGGATCTTGAGAACATAAGAACAGCCATACAGGGTCAGACCAAAGGTTCATCTATCCTAGTATCCTGTCTTCCAACAGTGGCCAATGCCAGGTGCTTCAGAGAGAATGAAAGAACAGATATCAAGTGATGCATTCCCTGTCGCTCATTCCCAGCTCCTGGCAAACAGAGGCTAGGGACACCATCCCTCTCATCCTGACTAATAGCCATTGATGGACCTATACTACATGAACTTATCGAGGTCTTGTAGAAGCAAACAGCTTCTGAAGAAAAGGAAGTAAAGTTGAGCACAGCAACCAGAATAGTTGGCTAGAAATTTTTTCCACAGCTGGAAGGGTATATCACCTCAACTGAACATCTATCGCAGGGCCCTCATTTAGACAGTGAAGTTACTCACTAAGGTAAATGGGGTAGGATGAGGGATAGATTCATACTACTGATGCTGATGTTGTTTGGCTGGAAACAATTTTCTGC